ATCATTCTGGATTTGTGTTTGAGGAAACCTCGGTCAGAGAATTATCGTGACGCCATTGATTTCGAATTCGAAAAGCTCCGTTTTCATAATGTTTTCCGTTCACACGAACACGAAAAGCCGTTGTTATCAAATTCCTTCGGTTCGAATTCGAAGAGCGGTTTCGAAAAGCTCCATTTTCGTGACAGATTAGTGTAGACGGTAGGCTTAACCGTTGAAATAAGGCTGCGTTTCAGGAGCCCATGGGCTCCAGCTTCGGCATAGTGAGGACGCGGACTTAGCTAATAAACATGGACCCTGTAAATGAGTACCCACTGTGAGGGAAGTCTGAGGGTTAGCGAACTTCGATTCATGATCACGCTATAGACTGGCCGGAGCACGAGCATCTACACTGATGCTTGGCTTGTCGATTCATATTAAATTGGATCAGACAAATCAGTTGTTTAGAAATTATCTTGAACTGCATTTTGTAAGGTGTAATGATTCATTGAAGAAGAGAGTTTGTTAGCTTGCAAAGTAAACTGCTCAGCTCAGCTCTTCACAACAAGCCAGACCTTACAAAAGGACCCTTATATACCGCCTGTAGTTTTAGCTGAAACGCTCCTTGAATGTGGCGTCTTAAAATTCTCAACATGCAACCGCAGCCGATTTCTTTTCCCATTTTTTCTTTGATGGGACGATACTGTTCTACACTGTAAAATGTATTTCTTTATAGTACTTGACTATATTCCGATTCACAGTAAGAATTTGTTGTTCCCCTGAAATAGCGTTTATCGGTCTGACCAAGAGACCATGGGCTGACAGTTATTCTTAGCGCGCGCCCAAGCGGTGCGGCTACTGAAAGCACCCAAGGAAAATATAAATTTAAATTGTATTCAAGATAAAATTCTTATCAATCGTTCCCATGCATTTTACAAATCATCGGAAATCTCTGTATGACATTTTGGGCGCCGTACTTTCGGCAAGGCATCTTTAATTCTAATCTTAACCAGTGGCCAATTAATAGTTCCAATTAACAATTAATGGTTGGAGGTATGGAATAGAAAATGACTTTTTGATGAAATAACTTGCCTATGAATTATTTCACCGTTGGGCAAACGTTCAGTCATGCAGTTTTCGTCCCCAGGGCTTTTCAGTGTTATTTCAAGGAAAAATCCCTGGGATCGAGGTTGGTTTGTTCATATGGCACTTCAAAGCAGCTACTGGCATGCTCTCTCTCCTACCCCANCCCCCACCCCACCCCGTTATTTTAGTGGAGACCCTGCTCACCCTGGCCAAGTCTAATAGTTATGTTATCTCGTCATGATTACGGACAGAATGCAAGGTTGAACAGAATATAAGTATCGCCGCAGTTTATGAACAAAATGAATTATTTGTGCATTTTTTTCGACAAATTTAAGATGAAAAAAGAAGTTTAATTTAATTTTGTTATGTTTTTTTGCACGACCCCATAAGCTACTGAGCTTTAATTTTAATCACGCTTAATTAAAGGCTGTCTGTCTGTCGGTCTGTCTGAGACGCGAACAGTCATTTGTTTGTTGTAAGCAAATACCGTATTTACTGGAATGAGCGCCGCGGGGCTTATTAAATTTTTCGAGCCACAAATGCGGCGCTTATTCGAGGGCGCACTTATTTGAGGGCGGCGTTTATTTAAAAAATGAAGCGAAAAAGAAGTTTTTTTCTTTTAATTTAAAGGTACATTTTCAATCTGGGAGAAAATTTAACAGTAACGAACCGAAATGTCTTTTTTATTGTCACCATTCGTCCCTTCGCGCACTTTTCAATTGGTGTCTTCGGTCAACTTCGATTCCCCGTACATCACTTTTGGTGAAATAATAATAATAAAAAAGAAAACTTCTGTGTTAGACTTGCTTTGTAATGGATTTTTAGCTACACCGAATTCCCCGAATAAGGGCCGCATTCCGGCCGCGGTGCTTATTCGGAAACGGCGCTTATTAATTTTTTAACCCAAATGTGACGCTTATTCGAGGGCCGTGCTTATTCGAGAGCCGCGCTTATTCGAGTAAATACGGTAATCGCAGATTTGCAAGGAACCAACAAATCACAACATTTACCAGCAGAGAAAAAGTTGTAAGATGTTATTTGCAGGTGACGCACTTGTCCTTCGATTCAATCTCGTTCCCAGGGCTTTTCCCTTTTAAATTTCAAAGGGAAAAGCCCTGGGAACGAGGTTGTCTTCGATTTATTAAGAGCAATAAACGAGAAATAGGAGAGTAAACTCCAGCCAGGCGAAGTAAATAACGAGGAAAGCAAATAGGCTTTTGCACATCATGCTAGCATTTTTTCGAGCATTTTTGTGAGGCAAAAGCATTAAGCATTATTCGAGTATTTTAGCGGCATTTTCCTGGAAAATTACTAATATTTTTTCTACAGAAAATAGAAATAAAAACTATTTTTTACCAGAAAATGAAGACTTAACTTAGCCTCTTCACTTAAGTATCACTGAAAGGGGGCAAAGGATTAACAGAACAACAGATCATTTAGAGAATTATCTTTTGGTGTATTAGAACTATTGCATACGTCGTTAAGCACTCTGAACTGTAATTGTGTTGAAACGTTGAAATTATTAAAAATTAAAAAAACCGTATGTATGAGCATTAACCGAGCATTTTAGTGACTTTTTTTTTNTAACCGAGCATTTTAGTGACTTTTTGGGGGAAGACCGAGTATTTTAGTGGGAAAAATGGAGCATTAAGGTGGAGCATTTTAGTGGGGAAATAAAAGCATAATGTACAAAAGCCTAAAAGCAAATCTCGAGAGAGACCCGTTATATGAGCAGTTCCCTGGCGAGAATTTGATTGTCAGAGAAGGAAAGTTGTTTTACAGTGGATGTAGAGAAATCATTTTCTCCAAGAAAAGGCTATTTTCAATACTGAAGGCCGGGCGTCCTTCAACGAGCAACAGAATTGTGCTCTTGTTGATTACTTCCCTCCAGGCCAGCGTCATGTCACAGTACAACAAGCGCTAAGGACTTCGAACATTAATTAACTGTTTATCATTGGACAAGTTTTGGCGGTATCAGAAGTGTTATAAACAAACAATTAAACACTTTTCACATTATTCAGTTGCAGATACGCACATGACGCTTGAGTTTCTACGTTTTGCTTGAAATAAAACAAAGCATTTTCTGGAACCAAAGCAGCACTATTTTGAGAATCGAGCATAATTTGAGCAACTTTTTTTGGCCCAAAACGGAATTTCTAGGAGCATAAAATGCCAGTTTTACTAGCATGATCGGGAAAGGCCTATCCGTAATCCTCTAAAGCGCCAAAAACTTGATTCACGGCCCAAAGTTAGGAAATTATTTTCCTATTGCACATCATTAGAAATCAAGTGGAATAATATAATTTGTAGGCCTGGGCATAAATTATGCCCCTAGTGCCAGTTTTCACGTGACGTCATCATTTTCCAAAATTGAAAATTACTAATCCTGGTGAAAATTTAGATTCATCAAATGTAAGAACCTCTAATAACTTCGCGTTTTACAACGTTTAAGCTCGACAGCGTTCTTCACTTTGCAACAGAGCGCGTTTGAATTTCCAAGTCTCTGCCTTGCCCGGAACATCAAATGGCGGCCCGCGCCAGAGAAGCCTCTTGCGAAGGTCAAAAGATGAGTCATCGCGTAAGCTATTGCTAACCGAACAGTTCTTGCACTAGAAAAAGCATTAATTTCAATGTGTCGGAGCTCTGGATTATTAACGTTTCTTTTAAATAGCAAAACTCAATGAAATATGTTTCTGTTACTTTATTTACGGCCGCCTTGTTGGTGCCCCTCCGAGGGGCACAGGATACCCCATTTAAGGCCCATATACCCGAAAAAAGACACACAAGGGAAAGACAAAAACTAAGAATAGCATGACTGGTTCAACTTTATTTGTTTCCGTAACATTGGAAGGCTACGAATAGTTCAGTTTTAACAGATCATATGTTTTCCATTTAGCTGATCATTTACGCACTGCAATTAATTTTAGCTGATATAATTTAGGTAAGCTATCTAACGATCACACCGGGAACACCGTGAATCCAAACATGATACCCTATTTAAGGATCGAGAACATCAAAAAGCCTACCCTATCCCGCGACACATACTTATATAGCCCATATAAGGGAGTACCCCCCCGGGAACAGTTACGCATCAATTTGCTGTCCAGAACTTTCTACTCATTGCGTCATGTCTAGGCGATTGATTGCTAGTTTAGTTTTGGAGAGCAGCAACTACGTTTGGATTGTTAAAACGTGTACATCCCACACGTGTGTTGATCCATCTGGCAATAAATATGTGATGAATAAATATAATAACTATGAATATATATTATTATTGTTATTATTATTACTATTATTATTATTTTTAAATAAGTTTAATATACAAAATAATATACAGAAGATAACTCGACGGAAATCCGGGATAAAAGAATAACACTAATAACAATAACACTGAAATACTAAAATCTTGTTCCTTATCGATTTTATTTAATTATCATTATTATTACCATTACCATTATCGTTATCGTTATCGTTATTATTATCATTATTATTATTAGTATTATTATTATTATTATTATTATTATTATTATTATTATAAATGAATTATTGAATTATTATTATGTTACACCAAACAGAGAAATTTTTTGGTATACCAAATACCTTCCCTAAAAAAATTACCTCACGAGTTTGGTTCCGTTTGTTGTAGACATATAATTATATAACGTTTGAGGACTATGCTCTGACGAAGGGCTTACGCTAAAAACGTCTACGGCGGTTAATTTACCATTATACTCATTATCAACTTTCAGGTTAATAAGGTGACGAGTGTAACAGTAGTTAGTTTTCTCCTGGTTTCGGACAGCCCGTACTTACGGCGGAACAATTCTTTCTGGATTTGATGAAAAGCCATGAAATGATATGCTGGGGTCTAACGGGATAACAGTGAAAATAGAGGCGCGATGCGGGATGCGGGATGAAGAGCATTTTCATTACGGGATGCGGTACGAAAATAGTTCGGCTGGAGCGGGATTTGCTCATTCTGACAGGCGGGATGTGCCCCAGAGGGGCTGCGGAAATTTTTAAAATTGATAGATTACGAACTCACGCATAGAACTGCGACTCTAACCAGGTGGGATCGGGATAAAACATTCTGACTGGGCAGGATGAGGATACCGGATGCTCTCGCAGGCTACGGGAAGACGGGATTGGATCAAAAATAGCGGCGGGATGCGGGATTGAAACCCTCTAAAGTACACGTTTGCAACATGTGACCAAGATTACCCAGAACTCTTTGCCAGCATTATTCTGACGTGCCGTAGTTTACTGTAAAATTTTGCTCAAAATGGGCCTCGAAACAGTCGTTTCTCCTGTGTTAAACTTTATTAAATCTCTTTCATCCCCAGTGCAAATCCTTGGCTTGGTAGTAATTGTTATGATTATACGAAAACTTGTGCAGGCTAAATTTCGCAAACCGCCTCCCCCTCCTCGAGAAAAACCACTCGAGCCCATGAAGAAACGCGACTTCACTCCTGAAGAGTTGCTAGAGTACGATGGCGTGAAAAATAAGCGAGTGCTGCTAGCTGTTAACAGCAAGGTGTTTGATGTAACCAGAGGAAAAGACTTCTATGGTCCAGGTTAGTCTGTCATGTGCGTTTTTTATGCTTTACGGTTTTGGAAATGTACAAGATGTTTAAGCTAACTGACGTCCTCACGAGCTCTGTGAAAGCAACTTGAAACGAGCGTGAGGTGTTTTCAAAATTAGTTTGCAGTTTACGCAGTTCAAAGGTTGGTACCTTTTTTGATTGATGATGAAATAGTGCAGGGTTTCAAACACGAATGAAAGAGGTTATCAAATGTAAGTTGAATTGCACAATTTTATTTCTCCACCAACACGCAAGATCGCGCGTGTGCAAGCGTATTTAAGCTTGATTTTATTTCAGATTACCCTGGTATCATAGAGCGAAAGGTATTTTTACTTAGGAGAAATAGTTGATATTCACATTCAAATGCCATAGTGAATTAAATTGAGGGGAACATTTTTCAAAACACGACGTTAAACTCTTGGTAATGACTTGAAATTGGCGCTCTCGTTCACAACGTGAGCCTCTTGTCATATTTTGGATTTATTGTTATTCAAATGATGTAGAATCTAACTGATTTTAAGCTGCGTTTTCTGTATTGAGACATTTGGTACATGGGTCATGTGCCTTTTCCTGTTTAGTTCATTAGCATAAACCTGATATGATTCGCTAGTTTCTCTTACTATTGTTCTAGTATCGAATCTCACGAGATCAACATTCCTTTATGGTGTCATGAGATTTTTACTTGCTTGAGCATCTTACCTATTTCATCTTCCAATGTCAGAGGGAAGCACACAAATGAAAGTAAAATTTGCATGTCATAAGTACTTCTAGCTACTTTTAACAAGATTTTTTGGTTCATAAAAATAATGCACTAATTACATAGATTGTTTTATTGCTTTACACAAGGCCCTGTCAGGGGGGACTGAGCATCCCACATTCCGTGGATGTTTGGCCTAAATAGCCCATATTCCATTAATTCCAGTTGCAAAAATTTAAGATTCGGGCTGTTCCGAAAATGCGGAGTGCGGAGTGCAGAGTGTAAAAGAAAGAAAAACAAAATTAAAAAACAAAAATTAAAAAAAAAATAAAAATAAAAAACTCTCCATTCCATGTGCAATTGTGGCCATATAAAATTATTGATTTCAATTTGGAAATAAAGAAAGGTTGGTACACACAACAGGAAGGCTTTTAACACAAAACAAAGAAAAAATATCCTAAAAGATGCTATTCGCATCTTGAGAATGATTTGCGTCTGAAAATAATTGAAACATGGGAAACTAGGAATAAGTTAGCCTCTTCCAGGTGTTCAGTTAGTTGGGGCACAGCACGTAAAACGGCAAGTGAAAAAATAGGGGAGAAGAGCTTTCTCTCGCTGCGTTTCTCCCAGGTTTTTTGTTTTTTTGTGTTAAAATCCTTCGTGTAGTGTGTACCAACCTTACTTTATTTCCAAATTGAAATCAATAATTTTACACTGGAGAAGATATTAAATTCCAACAAAAAAAATACATGGCCACAATTGCACGTGGAATTGGTGAGAGAAGCAGCGCTGTGCAGTTAAATGCCTCTTTTGGGAAAGTGTTTTATTTTAATAATTTGTTGTCTCAAAGTGCAACTTTACCTGTGTATTTATTTGTTTCTTTATTTGTCAATCTACATTTTTTTTATCTTACTATTTTTCAGCGCTGAAAAATTTTCAAGGTTTTAGTTTGAACTTCATCGATCAAATTGCGAGAACTTAAGGATGCCCAGTTGACAAGTTGTTCAATGGTTCAAGGGTAAATTCACACAGGCAGTCTATTTTCGGAAAGTAAAGCTTGAGTTTGTTTAGAGGCGTTATGGCTTTCCAAGGAAACCAAAGGTGTAATTTCTCACATTTTCTAGCCATGGTCAAAACTGGAGTGTTCTTTACTTTTTTTTTCCTAAAAGTGAACTGCTAACTACGAAAATCATGAGTTGAATATACCAGTTGGACTGAATGAAATATACGCGATATGAACAGTCCACTTCAGGTGGTGTGAATTTTTTAATAATTATTATTTTGATGTCTTAAAATGATATTTCTAGTTTATTTATGTGTTAAGTTATTCTTTTAATTCTCTTTTAATTCACTTTTTTTTTATTCCTATTTTTTAAATTTTTGTTTTTAAATTTTTTTGTGCACTCCGCACTCCACACTCTGTACTCTCCACTCTGTGTTTTTGGAACAGCCAAAGATTTGCCTACTTGTTGTCTCGTGTCCTCACATGTAAAACCACCCTCATTTCATAGAAGTCTCTTTCACAGCCTAGTCGTGCATGAAACTAAGGAGACTAACATCAGCTGACAAGTAGGAGATAAAATATTCAATTGTGGGGAAATCACCAACTATTCCTGAAGATTGCTCTTGTTGATCGACAATAAAGACCAGCAAAAAAAAAAAAGAGTTGTGTTGCTCCAATCACAAGCATTAATTTTAAATTTGTGAACTTATTCTGATGTTTGTGGCAAAATATTTTGTCATATTGTATCATTATTTAGATTCTTTTTCAACACCCTTTTTAACAATTTACGTCTTGCAGACTGTAGTTCAGACAGTTGAAAGTTCATTGTAAAAAAAAAAAAAAAAAAAATCAATTGTGCGATACATGTACCTTGAGTTGCTCTGTAAAGTCCATACATGCCTTGCAGTTGTTAACAATTGCCACCTAACAAAGAGGACGAGAAGTGAGCATTAAATGGGCTCAAAACCTGGCTNAAAAAAAAAAAAAAAAAAAAGTTGGTAGCCAGGGAGCATTTCTGAAGTTTTTACTGAGATTCAACCTGGCTACGGTAAGGCATGGCAAAATGTAATAGCATGTCAATCAGTTACAGCATGATGATGAGTAAAACAAGAATGTAAAAAAAACACCCATTGAAATTTGACATTGAAAATTTGGATTCAAATCTTAAGGAAAATCGTACAAAATTGCTCCTCTGTCTCCCTGTGACAGAGAGCCTCTTTGTAGGAAATGTGTGATTTATCAAATCTTCCTTGTTTAATCATCTTTTAGGGGGACCTTACAGTGTCTTTGGGGGACATGATGCAAGCAGAGGCCTGGCTACTTTTTCAGTTGGAGCTGATGCCGTCAAAACTGAATATGATGATTTGTCAGACCTGAACAGCATGCAAAGGGATCAACTACACGAGTGGGAAACACAGTTCCTGGAAAAGTACGACATGGTGGGACGGCTTCTGAAACCAGGTGAAAAACATCAACAGTATGAAGAATCAGAAACGGAAGAAGAAGATGGCAAGGGAGCAAAGAAAGAACAATAACAAAAGAAGAGAGAACACACACAATTCCAAAGTTGTAAAAAGAGAAGAGATATATGAACAAACTGCGCCGTTCAAGTCTTATCTTGACAATACTTCTAGAGAGAAACTATTGGACTTAAAAAAGTACGTCAAGAGTTTGGACTAAGGCCCGGTTCAAACGTCAAACTATTCATGAGCTGAACCTAATGCCCCAATCAAGTACATGATGAGATCGATGTTTGAATCAATTAAGTTTGTCAGATGTTATTTGGGTCGACCTGAGAATTAAGTTCGACATGGCCAGTTTGACTACGTATACTGAGCAACTCCGATTCAAACATTGAACTTTTCATGTACCGAACGTAATGCACAAATTATTATATAATACACTTTTTGATCCCATAACCCCGTTTCTTTCGCTCAAAGCATGCTCATCAAAGTGGGAAAAGATGGCCAGATGAGTGAAGAACACCAAATCAAACATGGCGTCAAAGCTAAAAGATTGCAGTGTTTGTTTTTGTGACATGAAATATGTTTGCATCGACTACAAGATACCTATATGTAACAGGTGCAGTGATCTGGAATTTAACGAAGATATAGAAGGCTGGATTCCAGGAAAGCAAGTCGGATACTGCTATGGCTGTATGAGAAAGCTGAAATTTAAGGGAAAGTTCGAAGAAGGGAAACATGATTATAACAGGGACAATAGCAGTAAGCTTAATACAGAATTGGATGGCACGAAAAACAAAAGCTCTTCTTCGCATCTCACGACTCTCTGCAACGTCCACCATGTTTGTTTGCCTTGGGCATTGAACTGCTGACGGACCGCTGACTATTGTAAAGCTCATAAATTAAGTAGAATGAGATTAATTTCGACATCTGAATCAACTGTCAAACCTTATCACTTGGATCAAGCCAAATAGGTATTAAGTTCTGCTCATGAAAAGTTCGACGTTTCAACCAGGCCTAACTTTATTTTTTAACAATAATATTGATAATGAGCTTGTTTCTGAAAGGATTTGTTAATAATAGTTATTTCAACTCAGTGTTAGCAGTTTTAAACAGAATTGGTTTAGTAGACCTTGCCAGAACCAAGTCTTGTACTCTCTTTCTGATTACCAAATATGTTTTTTTTATTGTTGAGAGCATGGGGTTACATCAGATTTTGTAAGGCCATCTCCTAGTTTACATCTCCAGATCACAAGTTTACCTCAGAATGTATTTAAATATAATAACTGAAGAATCTCTTGGGAACAAAATGGTTACACTGTTATGTGGGTGCACTATACAGGGAGTTATACTCCTTCCACTTTTCTTGTTGTCCAACTTACTGTAATGTAGCTTTGCATGTGGAAACATGGACCTCTGCTAAACAAATGTATTGCTTTTCATAATCCATCAAATATTTTTGCATGCGTAGGATTGGTCTAATTGCGCCACCTGACTGAATGTGCCCCAGCTAAAACTGGGGTATATCCGAGTGATGTGTCCCAATTTTCAAAAAAGTGCTGCATGGTGCAAATATATTTGAAGGATAATAAACACAGTAACCTGCACTTGACTTTAAATATATGCTCTGGCCATTATCACATGCTCCTTACAGCTCACTGTTTTACTTTTCTATGAAAACTGTGCGCTTCTGATAACAGATTGTCTGGGCAAATATTTTTGGGCTAACTGGAGGCTACTGTTTATGTAACTTTTTTCTCAGCCACCTTATTTCTCAAAGCTTGCTCAAATGCGGAAATTAGCCTGCAGAACATGCAGCTTAGTGTGGCAGTGTGTGAAGCACGATCCACAAACACAGAGCTGTTCTGCAAGCAATGACAGCTTGAACATGTGAATCAGCACTATGGGTGACACCACTCTGGTGGAGTAATTAACTGAGCACTCGCACTTCTTTTTCTGTTGGTTTGTAGTTATGTTCAAAGGAAGAACTCAAGTTTTCATTCACAGCTAATTTTATCTGGGTTATTGCCTCATTCACTGATAACGGATGAGTGTAGCATGGTATTTACCTTTTACAGCGCACTTTCATGTTTGACATGTGACACTGTTAGCAAGTCTTAAAGTGGATTAATGCACAGTTAAGTGAGAAGTATGAGTTGATATTTGTTGTGACTTACCAATCAAAACTTTGTGGAATACTGTATTGCCTTTGAAAACATTAAGAATTATTTTAATTTTGTACAAGTTAATTTTGTTCATATTTTATTGTATCATCCAGTCACCAGAATTAAGTTCAGTTTATTATTTAGCCCATGAACAGAACTGTTTTCCAGGTACGTTTTAGGTTGGATGCAGAGAGCTTGCTTGATTCTTTGTATGATAGGTTACGAAATGTGTCATGCAAATACACGTATTGTCAATTTTACTTTTTTAGTGATTTATATTACATCATAAGAGTGGTTTTCAATTGAGTATCGTAAAACCAAACCAATTATCGGTACTTACCAATTGGACTACTCAGCCAGTCTTAAAGCCATAGTAAAACTAAAAGTTACCAAGGTAATAACCTGATTACTTTCGACACTCAATTTAAAACCGCTCTATCACTAGTTTGTTCACAATAATTATTTGTGGCATCTACTGTAGATTAGGGGATTGGGGAGGAATTGGTGGGAACAGACAACTCAGGATTGCTAAATATGATGATGAATGAATATTAATATTTTTTTTAGCTCATTTTGGAAGGATCAAGGGTAATGATGTTTCTGTGCTCGTCAAAATCAAGCAAACTCTGTAGCTGAAGACCCAACGAATGATTGAGATTTTTTTTCATTTAGGGACTGGTCAAAGAGTATGGGGGGGGAGGGGAGGGTGGGCCAGAGCATTTGAAAATGTGGTGGTTAGAAAACATGATCCATTCCTTCCATTTGGTGCAAAACTGTGTGACCCACCCCTAAATGAAGGTTTAAAATTACATGACCCACCCCCACTATAAAACATGACATTTTTGGTTGCATAATCAACAAAATAACATTTTGTGTATGAAATTGTGGTTTTTATGTTTTTAGATTTATTTCTTAACAATGTGTAGTTCCAGAAAATATTCATACCTCCCCCAGGGAAGGGATTTTTTCCAAGACCTCCCCACCCCTCTGGAAATTCCAGTTGCACTTCATAGATTTCTTTAAAATATTTTTGGTCTTCCAGAACCCCCGACTCCAATCCCTTCCGTGGGAGGAGTATGGATTTTTTTCTGGAACTGCCCAATAATACAAAATCATCTAAAAATAATTTTGTTTTCCTTTACCCTTGCAACTTTAAAGTCATGTTCGTAAACTCTAAAAAAACCATGACCATAATCCTTTCACACCTGGCCTCCAGCCCCACTATTTACGGAACGGTAATCCATCTAGAAAAAGGCCATACTGAGTCCTAGGACTCACATAGCCAGCAAGTCCCAGATCCATGAACATATCTTCCATATCCCTGGGGACAAATAGCATGTAGACACTAGTCAGCCATTTGGTGTTCTTGAAGACTAGCATGTTGAAAGAGCACAGTATTTTGAAAACTTCTGCCCTGGGACTCCTTGTTCATTCCATTAGACTTCTTTGCCTTAGTGCAGCCATCTCTATTGTACACCAGCCACATGTACTTTTCCAGCCATGTCTTGAAAAATGTATGTCCTTTGGAACTGGAAGGAATTACCTCTGTTGTCATTGTGTCAAATGACTGTGCCAATTCCTGCTATAAACAGGATGACCCACCCCCTATGGATAGCTGAAAATTTAATGACCCACCCTCTACCAAGGGCTCAAAAACTGATGTCCCCCCCCCCCCAATACTATTTGACCAGTCCCTTAGAGGAGGTATTATTAGACCCTCATACAAATATTTCAAAGAGAATCTTTTCATAGGGAAATGAGTTTTATCACATGTTCATTTTCATACAAACCAATCCTCCAATGAGAAAGTATGGCGAGTGATACATTTACCCATAATTCTTAGTGCACAAAAACCCCTATACAACACTCATAAAAATGTACAGAAAAGTTCCAGCATCTTCAAATCTATTATAGTTAATCCCATTAGTAAAAGGACAAATACTGCAAAACAGGGCTTTCCTTGTGCCTAATGGTCAGTGTTAGATTCATTTAGTAAAATATACAGCCTCCATCTTTTTTCTTACAGAAGATTACATTATTTTAGTTCACAGGAAAGGATTTGCACCCAGGTACATTCTGAATTTAGCAAAAGTAACTCCAAAAATTACACCAAATTCTTGATGGATGGTAATCCTGGATCAGCTTAATCCTTTGAAAAACAAGACCCTAGTGTTTGAAAATGAGCAGTAATGCCATGATTGCAGAGCAAACTTCAAGAAAGTGAAAAGTTCATGCGTGTGTTTGGAAACAGCCCCAATAAGCGTTTTTCTCTCCCAGGTTTTATAGCCCCATTGCCAACATAGATTCTCATTAACTCATCTTGATACAGTCCTTAAGATCAAGTTCAGTCTTTTAAGAAAAGTTGCTTTGAATTCTATGTCACTGAAGATTATTTCATTTTGGTGATCTTTACTTAATTCTCATTACCTGCACGTTTGACTTTGAATCGAAATCATAAGAAGTAAGATGTTCATCCTTTTTGGAAGATTAAGTTGTCATAACAACAGTGAATGCTTTATTACCACTTTTGTTGCACTTGCAACCAAATTGTTAACCATGTCAAGGTGGAACTCTGCAGTGTGATCACCCTGACAGTACGCCATGTTTTCCCTGAGGGTGTGGCAGAAAACTTTAATTTCGGTTTTTTAACCTGGGCCAGATCCCGGGGATTGTGAATATGGTGATGATTGCTGTGGTCCACAGTCTCAAAATCCCAGTCAAGAAAGTTTAGGCAAACATAATTTATATAATAATCTTAGTAAAAAGGACCTGCATACCTGTTGATGGCATCTTGCACAAAATTTCTTCTTTATTTGATGGAGTTAGTGTGCTCTGGGCAAATAGGTTATTTCCCTGTGAATTTTTTTGTTTCTCCTACCCCTTCTGTGCAATGGAGAGTGCATTATTCAAATAGTTATGAAGCAACAGTTTTTTACTATTTTTTTTGCCCATGACCATGCACTTAACAGGGGTTTTGTACTTCATTCACAGTATAAGAGCATGAAATAAGATTGTGCATGGTCATGAACCCTCCAACATAAATCCTGTCATCTTTGTTTGGTCCTTTGAATTCGAAGTTTGTCAGGCTTCATAACCATTCCCCTCTGTTACAGTGTGACTACTCAAACCAGGCCACTTGGAAAAGAGTTAATCAGGCCCAGTTGTTTGAAAGGTGGATAACGCTATCCACCAGATAAATCGCTATTGCTATTGCTATATAAACATTGACAAAACAAACCACACTATCCACTGGATAGTGATTTATCCAATGGATAGCATTATCCACCTTTCGAACAACCTGGTCCAGAATGTTACTTGAGAACAAAGGATACTGACCTTTTCTCTCAAATAAACCAATAACATTGTTCGTTTAACATACAAACAAGATGAAAACCCAACAAAGTGCAAGTTGTTGCCAACCTCTCAGGAAACTGCCATTTGCTAATTGGCTTGTTTCGATCCTAACTTTTGTACACTTTTCAGTGGTTTCAGTTTAGCTGATGCAAAATAAGTTTTCAAACTAATTTTTTCAGGCGAGATTTATAATTATGATAATTTGCAGTCAAGGATTGAATCTCAAAGAGTGTGTATAATGCAGAGAATTCAATAGTGTTTATGTATTCACATCAAAGAGACTGTCAGTTGCCATCACAAGAAGCTACCAGTCCATTGTTCTCAGTTTCTGCTATGATTGGTTAGTTTCTTTTAAGAGGCCCAGTTTGAGTAGTCACAGTGTAATTACAGATGGACTGGTCAAGACAAGTGAATGGATGCCACCGATGACATTGATATCAATGGAACATTGGGGGTGCATGTGTTTGTTTGTGCTATTCAAAAAGGAAACTTTCCTTTTACTGTTTATTTGTTATTTGCGTTTGATGGCATGTAATCATTTCAAGGTCATAAAAATCGTTCTATATCACAGTGGTGGTTGATTACTTTATGCCAAAGATGGACATAACTGTCAATACATAAATAATAAATAGTTACTTTCCAGTGCAAGTATTACTAACAAATGATGTTAGCTTACGAGTGTTGTTTGCGATCTGTTTCTGCAAAAGCTCTTTTTTCAGTTTATCTCTTCTCTCTTCCATCTTTTTTAGATTTTGAATTAGTTTATCTCTCAGTTCCTTTTCTTGTTCTTCTAGCTTTTCTTTTTTTCTTCTCTCTTCGTCTTCTCTTCTTCTCTCTTCCTCTTCAAGTTTCCGCTTTTTTTCTTCCATTTGTCTAAGCATTTCTAATTCCTGAACTCTCTTTTTTCTTTCCTCCTCTAGTTTCCTCATCTCCTCTTCTTCCTGTTCTTTCAATGTGGCTATGCGTTGGAGAAGTTCCAATAACAATCTCTTAGCACATTGTTTTCTTTCAGCTTCCTTCCTTTCCCTTTCCTTTTCCAATCGTTTTATCATTTCTTTCCGTTCAATCTCCCTTCTAATCCTCTCTGCACGTTTTTGTCTTTTCTTTTCCTCCCTAGCCCTTTTCCTTTCTTCTTTCTTCCTGATTGCCTCTTGAAGCAGCCTCTGTTGTTCAGCTTCCTTCCTCTCTTTTTCTAACCGTTCAAGTTCTTTCCGTCTCTCTTCTTCCTCTCTCTCTCTCTGTTTCCTCTCTTCCTCTTTTCTTTCCATATCAATTAACTTTTGTCTCTCCTGATCCCTCTTTTTAATGTTCTTAGCTGACAAATGGCCTGATTTGTCAAAATCTACTTGAATGTTAGCAGTTGCGGCACGTCCCTCTTCAGAAATGTACATTAATTTCATACCTTTCAGTGCTGCCATGGCATTTGAAAACCCTTGATACTGACTGTACTGAACAAAAGTGTCGAAGTGAAGGTGTGAGCCATAGTAAAACGTTTGAAATTCACTGTTTCCTTTTGATATCTTCTGCCTGTAAGGATCCAAGATGGGTATATCCACAGACCGGATTTTCCCAAAACGACTAAAAACTGACGCCAAGACTTCTTCGCTTGGTTTGTTAGCAGACTCATCATTTCCGAACCATTTACACGGCAATCCTTTGATGTGAATCGTGTCTGGTCTTTCACCTGGATTTCGTTCATCTAAACTTTCGGCCTCTCTGAAGAAAGAATTCCAATCATGTGCAGTGGGAAATTTCATCTTAGATTCTGCTGCTCGAACTTTGAGCGGTTCCGCAAATCCGCTTAGTTTCATAAACTTTCCTTCCAGTTTTGAAATAAATTTCGTGATTAAACTTTTGGTGTCTGTTTCACCTTCAAAGCGAATGAATTCCATTGACGATTCCACAACTTTTAACACAGTGAATTGATCGGGGGCAACCATGGATTTTAGCCTCTCCATTACCTCCCAGTTTGATATCGATACGCCAGCGACTTTGATCTCTGGTAAGGTGACATGCACGCCAAGTTTGGCCACAGGTTTAAGGTACAAGCGCTGTAAAGATGAGAGTTCGGTTGCCTCTGTGGTGTCACCACAAGCTTGCGTCGCCATCTTGTTGAAATTGCCTAGGTAGCCTGGCTTTGAGAAAGACTGGTGACAAGAGTATTGGTGCATTATGGGACATCTCGAATGTCATGGCGGACGTTTTTGTTTCGTCTTCGATTTTGACAGTTCTTTGTTTGCCTACGAAAAAGCACGCTGCTAGAATGCAAGACAAATGTCGTGGAACGACCATTCTATTTTCGATGGTACACCGCTCTTGTTTCGCACGAGGTCAGCTGTTGTAAAGCTGCTAGAACGAGTGAAAGGCGAAAAACCGTCAATTCATGTTATCTCAAAACCGACAGAGCCAGTTGTGAGTAGGAAATCGAGATTTAAATTCCCAGATCCGAAGAAAGATTGCTCCGTGAATCTTAAAGTCAGCAGCCACAATGGTGAACTGTGTTTGCCATTATGCTACGAAAATCAAGAAGATTCGGATCATCACATTTGTGACGGGCTAAGATACATTTTACAAGTCGTATCTGTGAAGAGATTTTCCCTGGATGGTAAGCAGTTCATTGCAAACGAATGCCAAGAGGACTTTTACTGTTGTTCTCCTCTCTCAGCACATAAGAAGGGTTCAGCAAAAAAGTGTCTGGGATTTTGGTTTCGGTTTCTTGGCAAGGACGCGATATACCGCGTAACTGTCGCCCTTAAGCTAGATGTCGTTTCTGTGAGTAATTTGATAGGTAGAAGATACTTCTCGGATTCATTGTTCAGTGATGATGGTATAGTTTCTAGTGAAGAATTTGAAATTTCAACCCGCGTTAAATCATCTCAAAGCACTGCTGCTGCAGAAAGAGATGAAGTCATAAATGCAGCAAAGATTTTTCCTTCTTTATACTTCAATAAAGAGTACAAGTCTATTGTTGCTAGATTTAAAGACTTGAGACATAAACTGAATTTCAAGGAACTGGACAAATTTTTTGTCCAAACATTGGAAGGACTGAGTGACAACGACCTAAAAGTTGTCCTTTTTCTTGAGCAAAGCCAAGAAGCCTGTCGCAAGAGGCTTTATGAAAAATCTAAACAACTTCTGAAGAAGGCAGTTGATGCTGCTGCCAAGTGCAAGAACAAAACCTTGCTAATGGGTAGAGCTTATTTATATCTCTCCTATGTTCATGAAAAAGATGGATATCTTGGAAATGCAGAGGAGTGTTTAGCAATTGCTAGGAAAAAGCTTCAAGCATTGGAAGCATGTGAAGACATTGGAGACCTGTGCTTTCAGGAAGGGCTCATTTTGACAAATTTTGCTCAAAAGATGCCTAAGTTTGCTTTGAAGTTGATTGGCGAGGCCATACACAAATTTGAACAAGCTGCAGCACTATTCAGCAATGGTCTCACTGTAGATAATGCTCTGGATAAGTTATGTTGTTCATACATTAGACTTGCATCGTTATTACTTAAACAAAAGCCATCAGCCCTAGGCACTGATGGATCCTGTGTACAACCTAATATAACACTAGCTGACAAGCACCTTGAGTGGGTTGCAGGTCATCTGGCAGAGCTGTCAGAAAGAACTAAATTCAACTTCCATGTTTGCCATACAGAGCTTCTTTATGAGAAGCGGCAATATGAGAAAGCCAAGGAAAGTCTTGATGCTGCTTTCCAGATTGCCCACACTTGCCAGTTTGAGGAGCAGGCGATGTGGAAAGAACTACCTGGTGGCAGTTCTTGCAATGAAAGTTACTTACAAGAAACTTCAAGCTTTGGGCAGCCAGCTGATGGCGAGGGCATGGAAGTTTTTGTTGTAGATGATGTACCATTGGGCTATCTTGGTGATATGAGTTCTTAAGTCTACCAGTCATCAATGAGAATTGAACTTAATGACAATACATGTATCTTTGGTTCCAAAACAAACGGATATCTAAGAAATTCTCAGTTTCATGTAACCCAATAATGCTAGTTAGGACTAGTTAGAATGTGTAACTTTTACAGAAGTAGGGTTCCAATATTTTTGGAGTGGTTGTTTACAAAAGAAGATTTGTTATAAAAAAAAAAAAAATGTTAATCTAAATGGTACTTTTTACCAAAACTTTAGCCGTTGGAAAGTTGACTACCAGGGCTGTGTGCTTGAAGTGCCCAGATGCCATAGGCAACTGACATTTGCCTTTGGGTGACTGGAAAAACTTACTTTTTTCATATAATCTGAAGTGCTGGGCACCCAGGATTTCATGGTTAAGAACCTTTGGGCTCCTCGTCATTTTTGTTAGACCACAGCCTTGGCTACGGATAAAATATCTATCAACAATATAATTTAAAGAATGTTTGTACAAGAACATCAACTAAGTATTTATTACAGAAGCTACATCAGAGAGTCATGTAACCTACAAACTTTGCAATCATCTGTGTAGCACATTGCTGGAGCTCTCTCCTCAAGTAAAGTAGTTTTCTTTTAGATTATTTATAAGTGTTTATATAATAAAATTTATTGGAAAAAAAAATGACAATTTTGGAAAAAATATACAGTTGATATTTTAGCTTTCCATGTAGTGTTGATTTTAATATTGATCAAACAATATTGTTATTCAGTAACATTTTATAAACAAGGTGTTAATACTGTTCAAAGCATATCAACTTTATTAATCAACACAATAGTGAGAAAGGTGTAGTTTAAAAGCATTTATTGCAAATACATGCTCTATATATGAATTTAAGAGAACTTCACTTTGTATGTACATAATCATTAGTGACTGGAACCAATATTAATTATATCACAAAGGCAAATGTTTTTAAAATACCAGTATACCAGAATATGTAATATGCTTTCAATTTGAAACAATACCAAATGCAAGTAAACCTAAGCCAAACATTTGTACATGAAAACAACTATATGCTATTATTCTTCAACCAATTTTATTCCACTATGTACAGGTTAGCTTCCTTTCAAATAAACAATAAAATAATACATAGTCAAATACTGCATGCAACTACCATGCCTTTCCATCAAGACAATTTGGAAATTCAGTAAGAATGGAATTTTGAAGTTTATTTTTGTTTGCCAAACTAGAAAAATTGTTTTCCTTAATAAGCAAATTCTTTCAGAAAATCCCAAAAAGGATATCTGGTAAAATAAATTACATTTGACCTCTAGTTTCATCACTTAAAATTTAGAGGACCAGTTGTTCAAAGGGTGGAAACACTATCCACCAAACAAATCACCATCAAGTGGATAACTGTGAACAAAAAACTGAGCTATCTACTGGATAGTAACTTATTCTGTTAACAGAGGCATCCAGCTTTTGAACAACCAAGCCCACGTCACATCTCCATCTTGAAAAGCCAGTCGTAAAACCATGTGAGGTGGCCATGCCATCTCCACGTGCTTGTAAGAAACAAACTGGGGCCTGTGAGAGCCTGTGAGAACCTTGAAGAATGCCAGTCAATACAATACAAATGAGAGCCTGGAATTGGCTATTTTCTGTACAATAAACTGTCTTCAAACTATGTTTTTTAAGCAACTTTTACAATTGCTGTGCAATGTAATCCGACAAAGTCATGAAATCCCTGCCTATTGGAACAGGGCAAAATAAATTGCTATGCAAAGTGTTTCTTTGGGCTTAGAAGCCTTCTAGACTGGGGATACTTTTCAGTATCATCTTCTTTACTTTTGCTCGCACCATCTTCACCTTCTGACTTTTTCCTGTAGGCCAAGGAAAAATATCGTGAACCCAACATAACATGGTTAACACAATCTGTTTGTGTCACTGTACAGTTGACTACCTCTGTAAAGACCAACATAGCTATCTGCCATTTGAGATGCACAGTCAAACTTCTATAAGTGGCCACCTATCAATTGGCCACCCCTTATTAAGTGGCCAGTTATCAAAGTTCCAAAATTATTGTCAGTAAAATACTAAATAAAACCCCTATTAACCGGTCACCTCTATTGGTCATTCCGATGAGGGTTTTTGTATTGTCTTCATCCCTATTAAACGGTCGCCCAGAAATTGATACATGTAAATTAACTTTGTTTTGGAAAAGGCAATGACAGATAGAGTCAGAAATAGAAGGTGATAAGGGATAAAAACATTCAAACACACGTTTATCATGATTTTCTTGAAGTGACTCCATGTTCACTAAGAAATTAACCCGATGGTGAAAATATTCAAGGTAAACAAACCTGTATTAAGTGGCCAACCCCTACTGAGTGCATAATAGGGGTTCCATTATATTTGCTTCAGAGGAAGGCATTGACCATTAGGTACACACTGACAGTAAATGTACCATTTGCGTTGTATAATTATTCTAAGAATTGCAGAAGGAAATGTGATTTCAACATGACTATTTATAACTATTATAGTAACTTGATACTTACTTCTTTCCAGTCTTGGGTCTGCCTGCCGTCTTTGGGCGGGAAGACTTTGGACGACTACTTTTAGGCCTAACAGTTGGTTCATCATAACCCATGGAGTAGTTAATGTGTTCATAACTTAAATACACACTGGATATATCTGTATCATTGAGCTACAGACAGAACAAGAACAACAGTGAACATACTGGATGTATGCTGTCCGAAAAATAATAGCTCTCCACATTTAACACACTAAGTCCTCAGATGTGCAAAATTCTTGATCATTTTTTTCCTTCTTTTAGTAATCCTTTCTACAGTCCTCTTAAAAAAGGTTCAAGAAGATGTGCGGCGGCCAGGAGAAGAGGTCTCCTGAACAACTTGAGTCAGAATATTATGGTACAATAAATGAATGTTATGATGCAAAAAGCAAACAAAAGGTTGATGTTTCAAAATCTCAGTATGTAATCTACAGTCTGAAAAGTCTTTGCATCAAGTTATGGCAATCACGGTATCTTGTAAACTTATTCAATAGCATAATATATCAGCTAAGCTAATGTGAATCAGGGCTCCAAAAAAAAAAAAAACTTGACTTCCAGCTTGCCCTTCAAACAAGCAGCTCTCAAATTTTACTAGACCTGGGGAAGTCTTACTTTGTTCTTTTCTAATTAATTTTACACCTTGCCTGGGCCCCTGCCTATTTGGCAATTCAGAAGGAAGAGTTACTTGCCCGTGGGGAAAATCTACTTGTCCTGGACAACTGGATGGAACTTTTTTCAAGCCCTGGTTAATTATCATAATGTACCTCTTTGTTCTTGTCTTTAGGGTCTGGACTTGGAGACGCTTTCCTCATATTGTTCCCAGTATATGCCACAAATTGCTATTGGCCAAAGTTTAGAACATTACTCTCAAAGTAGTAAGATTGTGGGAAAATAATCTTTCCAAATGGTAAGGTACACAAGAAGCATGATTTTAGGAAGCTGTAATACTTACAAGCTGCCATTCTCCTATCTCTTCATTCCAGGAAACATGCTGCTCTATCAGTTCCTGAAGCACAAATTAGTATAAGAAATCAAATGGTAACAAGGGAAATTAGGAAATAATAATTATTTCACACATGCTTTGTTAAAATTCTAATAATTTTCCAAGCCTTTTATCTTTTAATATCATGGGCCACAAATTATGCTTACAATCATGGGTTGTTTACTTGTTTATTGTATCAATAAATTTCACGCCAAACATTATTGTGGTGGAATGCCATGGCAATTTTGTTATTTCTGATGTGAAATTTTACAAATAAACGGTGAAATTTTGCACTAAAATTAAGGAGTAATTTGTTGTGATATTACCAATTAAAAAATAGTTTGTCAAGGGTGACATTTGGCAATTTATGATCAATTTTAATCCCCTCTCACCTGAAATTCAGCTGGTATGAATGTCTCAATCAACAGTGTTTCAAACTGAAGTTCTTTACGTAGTTCTCTGATGCTATCCAGCAGACCTTCAGTTTCACGCTGGTGTTCCTGCTGTTGATCAGCCATCTACAGAGATTAAGAGTTCAACAATACTTTATATAATATTAAGTCAAATTATTCTCGTATTTTGATTGGTTCTTACTTATGCTCTATTGGAGGACAGGCACATAGATGATGCCATTAACATTCTTTCTTGTTTCTTTCTTATATAAAACAAGTAGATTCCATGATGCCATGCATCTGTTCGGTAATAGATCACATCATCAATGGCATGGCTAGGTCTGGTTTTCTACAAATGTCAGTAAAATGTTTGCCAATGTCTGTGAATCAAGGACTTTCAAAATGGAACTGGCTAGAATGCGAGCAGTCTCTCTTTTCCTCAATAATCCGTGGAGAAGAATGCAAAACAAGAGAGTATGACAAGGAAGTGGCAATACTGTGAGCCACGAATAGCGCCGGCATGACTACTCACTTGTGTTGCGATTTTCTTTGTGTTCTTCCCCACAGATTTTCAAGCAAAAAAGAGACTGCTTGCAGTCTAGGAACCGGCCAGTGTCGTGCGGGTCTTTAGGCAACAGTCTGATAGTTGAGGGGATCGGTGAAACAAAGGCAAGTGGACAGACAAGGAGCAGAATCTTGATAATCAAACAACAGTATATTTCAACATCATTATGGCGATCTGATCATACAGTACTTTCCATGTGATTAGCCCCCACATACATTTTTGACATGACCGCATCATTGGCAGGCTAAGTTATAACAATAACAAAGTTCAAACGTCAAGTTCAGTCTATTCGAAAGCCAGAGGTCATTATACTTGGTGCTCCAAAAGGATTGTGGCTTCTGGGATGATTATGGTTCAATGTACATACCTCAGACTTAGCACTCATAAGCATGCTCCATACTTTCTTCAGCTTCTTGGTTTTGCCAGCAGCCTCTTCCTGAAGGTTGGCATACTTCTCTTCAATGTCAACCCTCTCTTGCTGAAGAAAACACAGAATACAGAGTGTCATCCTCGTCACCCCTTAATAAACCCATACCATGTTAAGCAAGCCTCATGTAAGCCACTTGTAAGATGCCCGACTGGTCTGTCTCTAGCAAGTTGGGATTCTTTACCTTTTTTGTTCTTAAATTTGTAATATTTGTGTTATCAGTATTTCTGTTACTATAGATCTCACCTCTTTTTCCTCAATAAGTTTCTGAAGTTGCTTTTCTCTTTCGTTCCTCTCTGCAAGTTCTTTAGCAGATTGTTCCAAGAGGATTTCTTGTTCTTTGGCCTTCTCTAGCTGTTACAGAGAGAAATTGTTTCTTATTGGAAATGGATAATGTAATAATACTGATAAAACATACAACTTGGCTACAATGACTACAATATTATAACATTGTCAAACTCCCTAAATGAATCAAATATGACTAATACAAAAAAAAAGATAATTATTGTTTAAATTTAACTCAACAGTTCTTGCCACAACATAATTCCCACCTCCCCCCCCCCCCAGAAAAAGTTAATAATATATTTCATGTGAGACAGAAACTAAATTTTTTTTTTCTACAAAATTTCAGCTGCTCTGTTCAATACACCACAAAAGCAGATACTTGAACAGTGTTTCAGCCAGGAAATTTTACTTGAGGGCCAAAGTGGCCCCTGAAAACCTTTTTTAGGGGCCAATTTTTTTAGGAAAGGGGCCAATAAATTGAAAGGTGCAGAAGGAAAAAATACATCAGGGTTCCACGGATAATAAAGCAGTTTATTACGATCTTTGAGAAAATTTAATAGTAAGTGCTTTTTGAAATGTTTCTACGCAATCAATTTTTTTTTTTGAAATCAGATAATAGTATGAAGGATCTGTGCATTACAAGAGAACAATCCACAGGCATACATGATGTATCAATGATCAAGGGTTTGCAATGCATTACAGGGCAATTTCAAACACGATCAGCCATTGGGAAGTTTTCTGATGTGAGAGAATCAATACAGCAAAGCAAAAGGATGGGTTGACTTCTTTTCTTATGTGGAACGTTTTAGAAGCAAAGATCTTTCAATATGATTTTCTAGAAGGACATAACGTGTGACAAAATAACCGTTATTGATCATCAACACAAAGAAATGCAGTCACCTTTATGGCTACTAACCCAGAATTTTTGGTCGCCAAGGATGAAATGTTAGTTGCATTGGTGACCGTATTGGTCGCAACTTTGAGCCTTGGGATGGCTTTTAAAATACTATGCCTGTGTTAAGCCTGCAGTCTTATAAAAGGAAAGGGCCAAATTGGCCCTTTTTTCGTTTTTCTGGGGGCCTTCTCTGATTGCAAGCAGGATTCCCGCAATGGCGCGGTCTGGCGGAAACACTGTTGAATATAATGTGAGAGTTGATTGGGACTGAAAATACAAACCAAGTTCACTCCTCCCACAATGATCTTGCTCTCCACAGCAGCCAATTTATCTTGAAGCTTTTTGTGCTCCAGTCTTTACATAACAAAAATAATAACATTAATATAAAGTGATTACCTAATCAATCAAACAATTAATTAAAGTTACTTAATTAATTAATGACTAATTAAGTTGAATCATCTAATCAGTCATGTCTGCCTATGATAACTGTCCATCTCAGAGGCTAAGCACTGTCAAAAGAGGTGTCTATTTACAGGAATTCTCAATCAACTTCTCTTTATCAAGGGAAGATTCACTCCTGACTCCTTACTCAGATTCCTGGATGTCTTTTTCTCTCTTTTCCAATTCCTTGGCAGCTTTGTTTCTCTCTTCCTCAGCCATGTCTGTCTTCTGCTTCAGTTCTTCCCGTTCTGCGTCAATCTTAGCTCTCAGTTCAGCTACTTTATCAGGAGGAAGAGCATGCATGCCTGGGAGAAAATTATATATGGAAATAATAACTACTTAACAACCGAGAGTGAGGTCTTAACAGGAAAATCTCAAACCAGGACCTTGCTGTATTGACTGAGCAATAGCGAAGTCATTATGGCAATGTTATGGCCTTTTGCTTTGTTTGCATTATGGGAGAACAATGCCATAGAATTAGTCAATCAAAGCACATTAATGTTCATCAGTATTTTAGGTGGTCACATCGCTTGTGTCTTAGAACATGACCATACTAGGTCTTATGTCTGAAATTTTCAGATCACTCACAGCTAGCATCTTGAGGAAATAAACACATGTGTTCTTCAAATAAAAGGCTTGTTTCAAACTTACTTTTTCTTCGGTGTTTCTTCTTTCTTTTGACTGTCACGCCTTCCTCTACAACTTCCTCTTCAGATTCACTTACCTCGCTACCACCACTTCCCTCACCCTCTGATAAAGGTAAAACAAAATTCAAATAATTCAGATTTAATTTAAGATAAATAAATAAAAATATCGCAAACAATCAGATATAAGATAAACTTGCAAACTAAAAAGTTTAACTGCCTCTGCACTTGAAGATGCATCAGCCCTCCTGGCCAAATTTATGGCATTAAATTAAGCCTGCTGCTCTGATATCATAACTCATTAAATATAAGGCTGTGGAGAGTTTACCATATCATCGGGCATTGCACTAGAAACTACACTTATTTTTATGAAAAAAATATTTGATATTGCTTTTCAAAGACTTGGAACCTTCAAATTTCAGCAACTTGCTAAGAACCCGTAGATTCTTTAGTTTGAAGCAGTCTCCTGTACAATTGGTTCTTCAGAGTACAAGAGTCTTGTAAGCTGTATCAGAACCACAACCCTAAACATACCTTCTGCCAGCTGAGCCCTGAGTCTTTCAATCTCTTTCTGGAATTCTCTCAGCAGTGCATCTTTTGGATCTTCATTGATCTTAGCCTTGTTCTTGATATTCTTAGCACGGTTTGCATACCTGGAATAATTATAATGTTCAAATTAAAAATTGAAAAAAAAATTGAGAACCAGTTTGAAGTTGGTTCTAAGATGGATAAGCTAATTGACACCAGGCCATCGTTGGTCAAAGGATGGATGATGCTATCCACTGGATTAAACACTTTCCTGTGGATGGTTTGTTTTTTATTCAACACTTATCTGATGAATAACAGTGATCTATCCAGTGCATAGTGTTATCTGGACTGTTGTCTTTTAACCCCAGTGGTCAGCAGCATAAAAAAGTGACAAGGAGTGTTCCACCCCCACTAGTCCACCCTTCCTCCGACTCCCCCTCCACCTTCTCTTCTGATTGGAGGCACTGTGAAAGCAAAGCCACTTGCAAAATAGTTGGGCCCAATCTCTGAACCTTCTGACTTGCAGTCCAATGTGCATAACATTCCTCAAGTGCCATAACGATACAAAAAATACAAAAAAAAAAAAACCATGATTAGTGAATTAACTAAAAGCACAATTAAATTAATTTACCTGAGGGTACTTATTGTCTCATCAAAGTTGTAGTCTGCTGGGCCAATGTTAGCAATCTGAGAAAATTAAAACAAAAGAGAGAACATTAAACTAAGAAGGCATTTTGTCAGAAACAAAAATTTCACAATAATAAATATTCTACAAGAAAGCACATCTTGAAGGCTTATGAGCAACTCTTTGTTAGTGCACATCCATGGGAGAAGTATATAGGAGATATTATTATATGGCTAGCTCCGTGAGCAGGCAAGATGAATCAAATCCTGTGCTGTGATTGGCTACCCGAG